AGAATTACAGCTTCTCTTTAGAAAGCAGAGATAGGGTATCCTTTGGTGTTTAGTTAACTGACGTTCAGGATAACAACTCAGTATGAGCGACAGCAATAATACCCAGATCTTGAATAGTGCATTTTATTTCTARAGCTAAAACAACCCTGGAGGAAGTGAGGGAATTACTGATTTTGTACACTGGTAAACAGACCCCTGTGCAATTACTAGAAGACATACATGAGCTAAGGAGGGCTGGTTAGGTTAAGCTCTGGACTGCGATGCAGCTCAGAGGGCAATGCAAGCTGCAGAGGTCCCAGCAGTCCCAAAGAAACAGGGCAGTTTAGCATCGACCTAAGGGTGCTGCCAAGAAACCAGGTAATATAGTGGCTGCCACAAAYGTCTCCGTGTGCCTCCTGGATCTGCACACGCAGCCCCAGGGTGCAGGTGCACTTTTATTCATGCATTTGTCTTAAAAAACCACACCTGCTGCAGCAGGGCCTCGTGGGGTTGCTCGGACCGAGGGCACCCTGGCTTGCAAGGACCAACAGGCAGCGTCTACCCTCGAGGCCCGTTTGTGGGGTCTTCTCCCATATCAGAAATGACGTGACCCCGGCACGAGTGAGAGGTAATGCCACAACCTGGGCTTCTCCTGCAGGGCAGGAAACTCATCRGTCACTGACTGCACATTTCCAGCTGCAGAGCTCAGCACGTCCTGGGAACTGGATCAGGGCACTGGCCCCTCACCAGGGACCCTTTCCCCCCTGTTCTGTGCCTATTACAGCACAACGGAGCCGTACACATACTGGTCTCCTCCACAGAAAGGAAAGAAAAAAGGAAAAAATAATGCAGTTACACRGGTGCTCCATGTGTCTCATTTTCATCTAAAGTGACAAACTAAGATCACCTACTGTGRCAGGCGCTGTCCCCTGTCTCTTTAATTTTTCAGCAGTTTATGAAGGTAATTGGCTCCAGAAAGGTTAAGCAGAGGGAGAACAGCCCGAGCATCAGGCAGAGCGCTCTGATGAATGCGCTCTGAAGGAGCACAGTGCTGCCTTTCCAGCACCCCCTGTAGCCCTGCCAATTACTACTTGGGCAATTACAACACATCTCGGAGCAAGTGGCAGGGAAGCCTATTAAAGGCCATTACTTAGCCTTGAAAAGAATAATTAGCATGAGCTGCAAATAGCACTGGTATGTGGGCAGGCAGCAAGCGGTGACAGGCGGCCGCTGCGCCCCCGGGGGCTGCAGTGGGGCTGCTGACCACCTGTGGGCAGCAGCCAGGAAATAATTACTAGTCATTAATAATCCATCGTCTTGGTGTCCCACCTCTCATCTGAGGGGCCTCGCATGCTTGGCAGRCATTAATTAACCCTCACAGCTGTATGGGAGGTTAAGGACTGTGTTCTCATGATTACTCTGCGCCTGGAAAAGACGAGGTGCGCAATGTTAAGGGCAGCACTGTAAAGACTGRCCCAAATTTGATGGTGATCAGATCTGCAGAGCACTAACAAACACAAACACCACCACGCGAGCGGTGTCTTGGAAAAGGACCACGCAACAAAGGTCCCAAATCTGCATCTTCTCCCGATGTGTTTTCAACCCCAGCTTCTGTGGCTTACTCAAAGCTGCAGAGCGACGCTATGGTCAGGACTTGAATCAACCCTGTACTCCTGACTTGTAGCACGACCAGCAGCTCCGGGTCCTTCATTTCTGACTGTGCATCAGCCTTTTTTTCCCCCCTCAGTTTTGGGGAATGAGGGGAAAAAAAAAAAAGGTTAATTTCATCCTTCAGATTATTGTAGAAAAATTTGCTTCTAGCCCCTTATCCCAGGAGAAGCTTTGCATGCATAAGCTACAGAATAATACTGGCAAAGTATTGCTTATTTCTAAGTGAAGTCCCACGGGTATGCAAGATGATGGTAACAACAAAACCCCATCTCTCGTGCTCTGTTGCAGGTAATTTTTGTGGCTAAATAAATGAGATTGCTTTCTAAAGCTTAAAGTAAACAAGAGCGATTCTGCCAGGCAAAAAAAAAAAATTTTTTTTTTTGTCTGAGGTTTTTGGTAAACCGAGACTCCAAGAATTTCCTGTGACAGTATGTGCTGAAATGCAAAAYGGAATGAATTTGCTGAAAGCAGCAACTAAGCAGACCATTTGAAAGCAGCACCTCACCTTCCACTCCGTGCAAATCGGAGCTGTTAGAGTTTACTTGTTGGTGTCCAACAGCCCTCGTTCTGACTCRGGAGGCCTGCAGGATCCGCTCGAAAGTTCCCTTGCACAGAGGCTGCTGAGAACCTGCCCCACTCTCTAACTCGGCCTCTTGCCCACTGCCCACCCGCTGCTGCAGTTTCTATGGGCTGTATTTCTGTATTTTAAAAATGCAAGACAGGCACATCYGAGCAGTTCCCAAACTCTAACGTGACTGTTTCCTGAGGAGCAGGAAGGGCCAATATCAGCGGCGAGGCCGTGATGCTGAGCAGAGACAGGAGTTGGAGCAGGTCACAGCCCCCAGATACACACTGTGGGCACAGCCCCAGGGGAAGGGGCATCAGAGCTGCTGCTGGCAGCTCTTTTAAGAATTCTTTTTAAGAATGTTCTTTCTCTATAATGTGTAGGTTCATTATGCAGAAAGAATGGTTCGCCATGATTTCCCCCAATGGCTCCAAAAAGATAACACAACTTCAGATGAAATAATTGAAATATATATATATTTTTTTTTATGCTATAGAACACATTGGAAAACGCTAACTTTGGTGAACTATTCTTTCCCAGCGGGAAACACCCTGCACCACTGATACTCCCTCCCCTCAGTTACAGTGTAATTTAACTAATTTCTGGAATTTTCTGAGCTGCAAACGCATCCCTCCCAACAACTCTGAGCTCTTTTTGCCTCCTGAGATTTAAGTTCTCTTGACCAACCCCAGATGACTACAAAATTACRGACAATTTGGGCCTGGGGGATTGCTGCAAGAAAAGTCAAGCGCATAATGCTCATCTCTGCTCTTTTCTGTGCTAGCTTTCTCCATGAAATGCAGGGCTGTGATGCCCTTCACTTCCAGAGCAGAATGAAGGCAAGTCCCTTTCTTACTCCCTCTCAATATTCTTTGGCCTCAGTCGGTTTCACAGAGCAGGGAACAGAGATTATCCTATTCTTCCGCCCAATCTGACTCAATAGGTTTCTTTCCACCCTTTTCCCCAGATGTACATTTGATTTTCTGATGCTCCCCCTAATACAATAATCCTTCAGCTTGGTCTGTTTTACATAACCTCTTTTTAACTCCCTTCTCCTCCCCATGGCAGAGCTGGAAGGAGAGTAACTGAGGATCCCTGTTCCGAGCCAGCCCCCTGCATGTTTCTTGGCCGCTCCGGCTAACAGAGACTCTCTTGTACTCGGCACCGATAGAAAGGCACCAACCAAGCAAGTGAAAGGCAGAGGATAGATTCATATTATACAATGTTAGTGCTATCAAAATACAGCTGGGCCTAAAGAGCCTATTCACAAGCTCTAGATCGTGCTTAAAAAGTAAATAAGGTGTCTCAGGCACAGCTGCCTAGCAAAACGCAGCCTAATAAAAGGAGTTAAAAGACCGTTTTACAAAGTCACATAGGAAGCCGAGTTTGTTCTCTCGGCTCCTTCACACACCAACAGCAAAACGGAAGACCTCAAAGTTTAAATCCTGAGGACGAGGTGCTCAGCAAATAACTAGTCATTTGTCAAAGACATGAGGAATGCAACTCAGTTGCCCTAAGTGATGCTGATCAGAGCTACCTTCCAAGCCTGGTGTTAAGACTGAAATTCATCCAGGCAGACAAGCCCAGCATGAGGGCCTGCACCCCAYTCCCATCCCCAAAAAATGAACTTCATGGCCCCTACTGCTCTAACTAGACCTCTTTCTCCTGAGAGCAACGGTGATGAAAAATATAGATTCTGGCCAAAGATGGGGTTATAGAAAGGGGAAAAATAGTACCCTCTTAGCTTGATCCTCCTGCTTCAAGGCTCTGCTGCAGGAAGTCAAATTTGAAGGTGAAACAGTTCAATGTGGCAGTTCTCTCTCTCTCTCGGAGAGCTGTTCCCCCAGAAATAAAAAGTGCAGAGCTGCAACGATGCAAGGCTCACATGGGGAAACTGTAAGACAGCCCCTATCTGAGCTACTGCAACCCAGAGGCAGAGCACAGACAGACAAGCACACAGATCTGAAAGACGCAGAAAAAAATCTCTCCCTTTTAAACTATTTCTTTTGCAAAAAAATCCCAATTCTACAGCGAAATTCAAATGAACAGGGCACTGTAGAAACTGCTCTTTGGGAGATTACAGGGCCAGGTTACCACTTGTCTCCAGCAGCTTCCAAGCTACAGTCCTAACCTACCTTTTAGCCAAGAGAATTTACCAAGGCATTAACTATTCTGCCTATGTACATGATATAAGAGAAAAATGTGCCTCAGCACAGAACTCTGTTCTCTGTTAAATTTTCTACAATTTGTTTCTTCATCACCTGTACAGTTCACTATTTCTCTTATTAGGAACCACTTGCCTCTTGCTCAATCTGCAGAGTGCTTTTTGCATTTGGGTAAGAACATTTAGTGAAACTACTACTGCATTTTCTAAACAAAAACCTAAAAGAGCSCATAAATACAGAATCCATCCCTTGACTCCCACACATTTATGCCCAGGACATCAAGGCAAAGAACCTYGAGTGACGAAAAGATGCTCATACAGTGCTGCAGCCCCCAACTTCTACTTTGGTTGCTCTGGGCATCTCAATGGAGACATTCTTGTCAACCTTTTGGGGTGATACTTCTAAAAATATGCTCCAGCAAACACCTGAACTCATGTTGAAATCTCCAGATTTGATGATGAATTTTTAGCTTTAGGGTAATATGGAACAAGACAAGCGCACAAACACAAAGAAAGGTAACAACAGTGACCAGAAATAATCCGAAACAGCGGGACAGGGGGTGGGAGGTGGGAAGAGCAACGCTGTTGCTAACAGAGAAGTGCTGGGGCAGTGTGTCTTACCTTATCCCCTGGCTGCGGTCTCATAAGAGACACCTGATCGTAGCCTCGCCGAACCAGAGCCCACAGTGCATCCAGCTTGCCCTGGAACAGAAACATCTGCTGTGACCCAAGAAGGCTTCAGATAACAACAGAGTTTAAATGACCGCATGACTCGACCAAACCCTTCTCTGTTAAAAGTATTTGCACAAAACTGGCTGCTGAGCCCTTGGTTCTCTGTGTAGTGCCTGTCTGGACAGTGAGAGCCATGTGTCCAGCAGGTAAAGTGTCTCTGACCTGTGCTGGCCAAATCGACCCAGCTGGGACACACACAGGGTGACTGAGGTTTGACGTGAGCAGCACTCCCAGCAGTCTAGTTAGGAAGGTGCCACGTCCGCAAAGGCAGGATAACAAAAATCTGTCTGCTGCACTGGACTGGACACTAAGCATAGCGTGGGTAAGCAGCCGAAAAGACGACCTACCAAGCTACCTATGCACGCTTTAAAAATCACAAGTAGTTTCCAAACAATAAACTGAAGTCCTGTGAAAGTCATCTGCAAGGGTGGGGAGGTGGACCCTGCACTAAGCACTGGTTTGGGAGGCTGCCACCAGCTCCTTGGGCGAGCACGGCATGTCACTCACGCGGCCTTTAGCTTCCCTGCCTGCCACTGGAGATGGCTGCTCCTCAAGGGTTGCGTGAGGATACAGACTTCAGAGACAGGGAGACATCAGATACTATAATGACACGGGAGAAAAAGGATGAAAAAGCACACAGAGGGCAAGTGATTTGGCCAAAATCAAATACTACATCTTGTGGCTGAACTGCAAGGGAAAAGCAGCCTGAGGCCACTGCCACAGTGCAAGCACAACGAGGGCTTCACTCGAACCTCTGCATGCTGCATTCAAGGGCACTGCCTTGAATAGGAGCCCCCAGTAGATTGCAAAAGCAAATTTCTCTAATTTCTCTATTCAAACGTTCCCCAGAAGAAAGGTTGAGCTTAGGGAAGAAGATCTCTGCTCCCCTATCCAGCCGGGGAGGCAGACGTTACCTTGATCGGCGTGTACCATTTCCGCTGAGAAGGGGGTTTTCTCACGTGAGGCTTTTTCGGCTTCGGTTCCCACGGCTCATACTCCTGCTCTGGCAACTTAATAATGGCATTTTTGGGCTTCTCCAGTTTTGCTCCTTCCTCAGTTGATCCTTTGTCTCCCCATCTCACCTGAAGCCAGGAAAGCACATTATAAGTAAAGACACTTCAGCAGTCCCCATCAGTATGTGGTTTTCACAGATATTAAAGTAAGTCCCATTAGACGGCCCAGATGCCACTAGAGATGAAGTCAAATTCACAAAGGCATCTAAATCCTACTGTAATCTGRGAAACACTGTAATCTGAGAAACCTTTAAGAGTGAAATAACTTCTCTCAAAACCATCCTACAACTATCAGCATTCACATTTTTGGTAACATAAGATCATGGTGGAGTCACAACATCCAGGACAGATCAAGATTCAATTCCAAGGGAAAGCTGAAGCACTCTGCTAGRGTAGGACACAGTTGTAAAATACTTCCCACTGTCTTTCAAAAAGCAGGCAGCAACATCAGCTGAAAAAACCCACAACGTTTTCTACAGCTAGGTCTAAGGAGCTCCTGTTATTTAGTTCAAAAGTGTGGGGGGGAGAAATAAGAAGTCCATGGACAAGTACTTGAAAAGCTTCTAAAGAGCTCCAAGCTCCAAGCTTCCTAGCAGCTCCAAGCTGGCTGTGCAGCTACTGCTAGGAGACCTGGTRTAGCCACATAAGAGGACAGCAGCTTTACGCTCACCTACAATACACTACCTATTTTATGCTGAAATTCAGCTTTTGCAATTTGGCACAGTCASAAGGAGACATGTCCCTGCATTCGAGGGCACTGTGTGATCCATGGAGCAGCTCAGCATCCAGAGTGACAGTCTCCAGAGGCAAATGGCACAGGAATATTAGAGTATACCAAGTGCAGATTTGCAGGGACGTGTTGAGAAACAACTGCTTCCACTTTGGTAGCGTCACTTTGGTCTAGATCCTCATTTGGCTCACATCCCTATAGCTGGCTCAGCTAGTTTTTAATCTAATCCAGTTTTTGGTGTGACATCCCTAAAATACATCACAAAGTRCCAGTTTCTGGCCTTATATTAACCACAGCTGGGAATATTAAACTGAATTACATTATGCCAATTTCCAGGTGTTAGCATCTGATTACTGCCTTATCSTCTGGCTCCCTGGAACACACATGCCACACAGTGGCACAAGGCACATTTCTTCCACAGTAATGCCTTATTTTACACCTTCAGTCTGTCTTGGGAACGAGTCCCATGGTAAAATTTCATTTATTTCCCAATTTCGCTATRGAAGAAAAAGAATAAAATTTTCTCCAGGCAAATCTTTAGTGCACTGGGAGTTAGTRTTCAACTGAAAAAATCACTGGTTTTAATTCTCAGAAAAACTGCTGCTACCCTCAAATGCTCAAAATCTGCTTACTTCTGCTTGAGTCAAGAGGACTGGACCCCACTGCACCAGCTGAAGGATTTAATCCAGTAAATTAAAACTTCCTTTGGTGCTTATCCCACTTCTGAACTTGTTAATTTGCTCCTACTAATAATGCTAGGCTCAATTAATTATGGATGCAAATGATGACAGCTTGATGTCTGCCTACTTGGTCGGCAGGTGCAATCATGTGGTCAGGCCAAAATTAAACTCCTGTGTCTACTCCCTCAGAGTAGAAACCATATGAAATGCATTGCTAAAATTTAAAACTAAATGCTTTAATTTTTGCAACAGAAAAAAAAAAACCAGAAAATAAACCCCAAAACATTAAGCAAATACCTCCATCCTCTTAATTCCACCAACACCTCGGCCTCCGTAATAAGAGGCATCCACGGTTGGCCATTTCTTCTTTGGCAATCCATCTTCATCATCCGATTCCTATGGGAAAGACAGGGAGATGTTGCTGCTGCTATGCGCATAAATGGCATAAACTATGGAAAACAAGTGAGCATCCCATGGTCCGATCCTTGGATACTTGGCTTTGTGTGTTACATTTTCATGCTGACAACAAACAAAAGTCTCTTGTCTCTGCAGCTGCAATTTTAACTAGGGAAGCCAGAGAGGACTGCTTATTCCCCTTTCCAGGCTGCTTTTATTTAGTCAAATATGCATTCAGCTTCAAAATCACAAGTGACTTTTAAGGGAAGGCAAAGTAGAGATGAATTGTACATTATACTGGCTTGCCACTACACTATGCAGAAAACATGGCAATCAGTTTACCCAAAGAAATCATTTATTAATTGTGTTTTTAGAACTTAATGTCACCTAACAGGGAAAAAAAGATACCACTGTGAAATTCTGAACATGTGCATCAGGCCCTTCTTCTGTGGCAGCTGTAACCAGTTAGTCTGGGCTGCTTGATGCTTTGTAGAGCCTCGCTCAAGCTGCACAGCTTGGAACGGGGACGGAGACTGGAACATCTCCAAGTCTGCAGGAAGCTCAGATCCAGAGTTCTTGCCCTGCAATTATGAAGACTGCAGATTTTTTCTTCTGGAACRTGGGAGAGTCTGAATCAAGGTTACTTTGCGTTTCTCCTCCTTTTCTTGCTTAACTGAAAGCTGGCAAATGGCTGTGGTTGAAGCACCCTGGGAACACTCCGCAGAGGTGACCGGGCCAGGGCAGCTCCTGGCCACGCCACGATGCTCCCCAAGGATGTCAGCCCCACGGATGGCCACAGCTGAGGCAGGGGCCTGGCATCCTGACCATGCTACTTGCATTCATCACCTCCTTAGGAAAAGCACAGAGAGAACCAAACACCACCCTAAGGGGGGATGCCGACCTGGRTGCTGCTCTTGGACTGGCCATGCATCATGCCCTCCACTCATTTTCATCATTGTAAATAGGATTTTAGAAACAGCTTGCCTGGAATGACTTTGCTTTCACTCTGAGAAATCAAACGAAATCCGAACACTAGAGAAGGGCACAAACTACTGCGTGACATTTCTTCAAAGTTATTCTATGTGTTTTCATTAGAATGTGAAAGGAATTGAGAGTCCAAAAGCCAGTAACAATTCTAAAAATATATGGCTTTGTTTTTCCACTTAACTCCTAGATTATACTTTTGAGGAAAGGTGTTTTCATAACTTATTCAGTGACATCTGATCCCTCTGCTAAGGTTCATGGGTCAGTTCCACCAACAAATTCCAGGCAAGACTAGAGTTGAGTGGTGGCATTTTTTTTTTTAAGGTTAGGAATACTTATACTATTAGCAAGGCATGTTTTTTTTTTTTTTTTTTTTTTTTKAARAGTATAACAAACAAATCAATTTCCTCCCATTTTGTGCCACCTCTAAGACAGTATCTGATGAATTACATCAACAGTTTTAATTTATTCGCATTTCCCTTCATTTTGAACTTAAGTACTAAACATAACAGCCTGCCTCTTCCATGGGATGCAGCACAAATCTCAAGCCTTCACGTGCAGCAGCCTTCAGTGCTGACAAGCCTGACAGCAGCACCCTGTCTGACACCACACAGGGAACGGTGCTGGCCTATACTCGTGTGAATGAAAAAGGGGTTATACCTATGTTCTCTGCATTAAACATATAGAGCCACATACAATATAGCAAGAGCCACCACATACATACACTTTTAGAAATTGCAAAAATTTAAATGATTGCTGTTTAGAAAAGTTTTTACAGATAACTAAATACAATTTAATAATAGCAATAACAGATTATAATAGCTAAAGAGCAGGTCACAGTACAATAGGAGGCTAAAGCTGCATAYAATAAAGCAACCATCCACAGTGAATAAAGACATGGTCAAGTAAAGGGATGGATAACATCTGCATTCTGTACTAATTCTGGAAGCTGAYATACTGTCAAAAAGACTGATCTGATTTACTACCTCTGCTAGTGAGAATAATCCCAGAGCATCTGAGAATCCTGCTCTACAGCATGGCTGCAATTGCACAGCTCATGACAAAACCAGTCACCCAAAAAGAGGTACGATTCTGGGGCATGATTTTTGGTGCACGTTCTAAGTAAAAATTGTCACAGTACTGCTGCTCAGGATTAACAGCAACATCRCAGAGACAGTAGCAGTGGCCTCTGGCAACCTCCAAACAGCAGCTGTGGTTGCCTCCTGATACTCATGCCAAGTTACAGCAAGCTAGCAGCAAACGGCATGCTTCTCTTGTGGATTAGGCAAGTATTTTTCCATGAGTTAACTGTCTGTGTCTGGGAAACGAATAAAGAAAGGCRTAAGTTTACTCTGGAGATGCTTTTATTACTGTTGTGTCTTTTCACAATAGCACAGCGATACCTCTGCTGAGGTTAAGGCCCCTGTATGGCACGTGCCAAACCCAGCTAAACACAACCCTGCCTCGAAGGAGCCCAAAGCCTAAGCAGAGAACAGCTGAACATCCTAAGAAGGGCGAGCGCAGCCGAGGTGCAGCCAGGGCAGGCTCCCGCCTCCGGCTCCCGCACCAAAGCCCCAGGAACRTGGCCATGGCCACCCCTTGTTCCGTGTGTCGGCCTCACTCCCTACTTCTTGACTGTGGGGCTATGAACCTCGGCACGAGGCAGCTGTTCTGTTCTCTCCGTGGAAGGAAGCAGTGCTGCTATATGCACACACAGCAGCCGGATGGGCTTCCTCTCGCAGCCCTCAACATGTCATTACATCTCCTACAGGACTGACCCTCCTGGGCAGCACCAGCGGCTGCCGACACTGCAACAGCCCAAAATAACTCACTCACAGGCTCCGGAGGCGGTGGCGGCGGCGGCTCCTTGATCACCTGGGATATACAAAGAACAGGAGAGAGCCGGGTTAATGGCAGGGTTCACCCACAGCCCAGGGCTGCTCCCTCCACATCCCAGACAGGCTGCCCTGCTCCTCTCCCCCACGTTCAACCCTTGCCTCAGTCCCCCTGCCTTTCAACAAGCACAGAATAAATGTATGAGAAGCTAAACACACACATGGAACTATCCAATTAGTCAAGCGGCACCTCATTAAGTAGCTCCATAGTCTGGGAGCTCTGCCTTAACTACGCTATTCAGCTATCAAGCTAGTGCAAGGTATTCACTCAGTCTGCAGCTTCCAAGAAAAATAAAARTTAAAATTAAAAATTAAAATWATAAAAATAAAAAATAAAAATATCTGTTATACCTAAAAAGGGCAGTAACAGCACATGCATTACTGCTATGCTCTTTTTCAGCAGATTTCAAAGCCTGTCCTGAGCAATACATCTGTATCCCTAGAGAAACCTGGGCCAAGCTCAGGCAGTGGCAGGAAGGAGGAGAGGGGCAACTCAAGGCTGTCGTACATCCTACCTAATCACCTCCACCATGACCCATATATTTGATTTACAATTCTCTTCTTCAAACACCAGATTTGACCCTGCAAAGCAACACCYATGTGAGAAACTCACTGAAATAACTGCAATTACTCATGGCACAGAGCACCGTAATGCCTGGRCAGAGCCAGCAGACTAGTTACTCACAGATATCATTGTCCAGTTTGGAGCAATGGGGCCACCAMGCATGGGAATAGAGAGACCAGAGGCCCAGGCCTATCAGGAGAAAACTGGCTCCTGTGAAATGCCCAGAACCYTCCGCTCCATGTGCAATCCTATGACTTGCATGCTTAACAAATAATATGAAAGCAATAGCATTTTACCAATTTTTTTTTTGAGAGGCATGCAGAAATTGTGGCATGCAACTCTTGAAGATCGTTGGCAGAGTTTCTCCCAGTGGTGCAAATTTTAAACGACCTAGACAGCTGGTTTGTCATTTGCAGCACATGTACTTAGTGCCAGACATTACACTGACTTTAAAGAAGATTTAGATCTTGTCTTTGCCACATAAGGAAGCACAGTACAGAATCCATGACACCCTGCAGACTCAAGCCACTTGGTCCAGTGCTATATGAAGAAATGAGAAGCAGCACGATACTTTTAGCAAGGAGCTAAACCTAAGGTAACAATTCCTACATCTTGGATCCAGCTGCTGCTGGAGCTGCCTAACACCTGATTAACCTTCTCTCCTCACACTTTTTAGCTACTCACTGGAGACATCTTCACAAGCTTTGAATGGCCAGATTTTTAACAATTCTGCGTTCTGCAAATCTTGCCTTAAATCATTAAAAGATTAATTTCTCAGTCACTGTCAAAATCAGGCTTTGTGATACTCAAAAAAGTCTGGACCAAAAGGAATTAAACAAGTGCTTTAAACACTTGTATCATGGCCTTACAAGCCAGACAGTAGTATTAAGTAAAAAGAAAAAAAGAAAAAAAAAAAACACTTGTATCATGGCCTTACAAGCCAGACAGTAGTATTAAGTAAAAAGAAAAAGAAAAAAAAAAAAAAAAAGTCCAACTGCCCAGTCCAACAGACTTGGCAGAGAAGAAACAAAGTCTAAAGAAAAATTCTGTACTTACCACTGTGCAGCAAAGAGGCCAGAACCACCAAAGAAGAGCCAGAGCCAGCAGCAGAAAGAGAATCAAGAGGGCAATGAAAAGTATCGTCCCAGTCAGCTGCAAACAAGATGATCACACATCAAAAACACATCCAAAAAAAGGGCCGGAGCCTCCATGTCACGCAATCGAGCCGTGGTTTCCTCTCTGTGACTCCACAGGTCAGGACACCGCTGTCGCTAGGGCTGTGTGGTGTCACTAGGGTGTGATTTGGTGTCACCAACCTGTATCTGAAGCTATGATTCAGGGAAGCTAGCAAAGTTCCTGCTAGCAGAGAAATCTATGGCATGCTTATAGCTGCTTGGATTAAAGGGTCCTAAACGTACACGTGAACCATCTCCAAATCAGGGCTGACAGGTCCCGCAACATTGTCCAAGGGGCATTTCAAACCACATGGTCACATTCTCAAACGTTTAGAGTAACCTTGCTTTGCCGGAGACGCAAAATGCACAAATGTTGATTTTCAAATCATGGGTATTTTGCAGTGTGCTTGCATGTCAACCTCGCACAACAGAGTAGGCTCAGCAGGTCCCAAGCCCTTCCACACTGCGTGTTGAGCCAAACTGCCTGCACAGACTCAAGCTGAACACCTGTGCACACTCGTTTGCAACGCTGCGGGTTCGTGGGTAAATTTGGTCCCTCGTGCCTGGACCTGGTTCAGCTGCTTTCACACCACACTGCAGTCATGGCCTTAACCATTTTCAGAAATTAAATGTTGATTTAGATGAGAAGCAGCACACTAGGAAATCYGTTTTCCCTAGACTACAATGGACTTGGAGTGCTGTTAATCTTAGCTCCAGTGCTCCCACTATTTAATTTAAATTGTCAAAAGTAACCTCTTCAAAGCCGGATTTTTCTGAGTTTAAATAAAGTTTCATTTCGGCATAAGAGAACAGAAAAACAAACTTGAGAATGGCCTGGGACTGAGAAGAAGTAAAAGGAGCTGAAGAAAGGTCTGTGAATCAGGCTACAGGGAATGGAAACAGAAATTTTGGAAAAAGGATAGATGGGAAGACAAGAAAGCAAGTGAGTTCCAAAGACTCATGGAGGACATAGCCCATGAGGTTCCCCTTGTTAAATCTGAGAATAACTTTCTGAATTCCCACAAGACACCACAAACTCAAGGTTAATCCCTCCCTACAACAGGTGCTCCCCTGTTCGGTCCAAGTGGGTCAAGAGAAAGCACCAGCTGGCCAGGCTCCTGCACACTCACAGTGGAGCATCACCTCCCTGCAGCTCTGTGACTCCTTCTTGCAGGAGCAAGAAAGGGGCTGTTCTGGGAAGCGCCATCCGGGCCATGTCACTCGTGGCCGCGGCACYCAGAAGGCCAGGGCGGAGCTGGAGCAGGGCGTTGGACTAAATGCTCTCCAGAGGTCCCTTCCAACCTCAACCACCCTGTGCTTGCGTGAAGCGCTGCGACTTGCGTGCAGCCTCCGGCTCCGAGGAGTCCTCACCCATGGGAGCCGGGTGCCRCTCGCTCGGGACTGCGGCCTCCTCCCCGTCCCTCCCTTGCCCTTGGGCGGCGCTAACCCATCTGGGAAGCAGACACTAGGGAGGTGTGAACTCCTCAGCTTGCTGAGGAAAGGCCACGTTAAAAATAAAATAAAATTAAAAGGCAGAAAAATCCCCTTCTAATGAACAAGTACACACAGGGTGTAGAGGAAGTGGACTTGGAAAAGGCAGACCTCGTGCAGCTGAGCTAGGATAAGCACAGGTACCAGGCAAAGGCTTGGGAGTGAAGAGAAGATACTTACGGTAAGGAAAGGAGAGAGGAGGCAGCTGGCRGGGAGAGTGGAGCAGGCCAGCTGAGTGCCACGCACAGAAAAGAAAACAGGAGAGAAAAGGAAGCGGAGGGAGCCTCTAAAACAAAAAAGAGCAGAACCCATGAGATAATGGACAAACTAGCAAACCAAATCATCAATCTCCTACTTGTGGGAAATGAGCGTATCGAGCCAACCTGGCTCGCACGGCTGAGARTCAGGCCCCTTGCCTCTTTCATGTTCAATCTATGAGCGCTGGTCAAAAAAAGCCAGATTGACAGGATTGGAGATTGGATTCCTCTGTTTATCCCAAGGCAACGGCGATGAAAGCCTCCTCCATCCTCACTCTGGCCTGTAGGGACCCCAACTAAGACTAAGACTTCAGTCCCTATCAGAAATAAATGATGTATGGGTAATTGAATGCATCAGTTCACACTTGTGTTTCACTGCAGACTCAAAAGGTTTCGTTGTACCTGAGGTAGGAGACAAGTGTAAAATGTGAAAATGTCAGTTTTCTGTGTAGAAAACTTGGAGGAAGGATTTGTAAAAATCAGGTGAAGCAGCAAAAACATCTCTGCTAAATTTTGAGTGCCCACACTCTACACTGCTTCAGTCTGTGCATGAAATTTCCCTGTTTCATTGCTGAAAACATCAGAAAAATCAAATTTGCAAATTAGTTGCTGTCTCTTTAGTCTCATTCCTGCCCTTCTGCTCTGTGGCTGTCAAAAAGGGCAGCAGTGATTACAAACCAGTATGACAGCATTTGGTACAGCCCATAAAAATCCTTTTAACAATACATTTCAACTTTCATGCATAATGCTTGGCATGRGGTACTTTGGCAAATTTTGTGTATTCCATAAGCACAGGGCCAAATCTTTGGATACTAAAACCCTGATAAYGGATCAATGCTAACTCACATCAGTTACAGGTATCACTTGTTCTTACCTCAAAGCATGAATATGACTGCTTGTTTATAAATAGTTGGCTTTTTCATATTGATTATTTAATTCCAAAATCAGATTTTTTTATCTCTATCCTTTTTCCTAGGGCTAGGTGGTTTTTTGACATCCCTGTGCAGTGGCACATTCACTGCCACCACTGGCATCCAACAGCACTCAATCCCTCAGCTGTCCTGCAGGATRGCCCATTAACAAGAAGCTCATCCCAGGATCGGAGGCTATGACCATCTTTGAGCCTTCCTTCATGACAGCAAAAGAGGCAACTTCTTCCCGTCATTAAAAAAAACTGCAAAAGTGCCTTAAGACAGAAGCAAACTGAGGTGGCCTAAGAACAAATGCTATAAGCTCTAAAGAAAAAATAACCTTGACAATTGAGCGGCTCTTCTATGATGCGGCCCTCCTAGATCCAAGTCCAAACAGTTTTATCTTCCACGCAAGATCCCCTAATGGATCCCATGGCTTTCCAGAGTGCTGCTCCCTGACATTCCTCCCCTGCTTTTCACAGATTCCCTTCCACTGTCATCTTAGATGTGAAGATCTCTCTTTCCYGGGAGAGGAATGGCCAGAGAGCCTTTTGTTGCAACTGCTCATTCAGCAATCCACYCCAATCCATCATCAATAACAATTAAATTTTAAGTGGTCCTAGCTATTTTACAAAGGTTTGCTGGGATGTGCTCAATAACTGCGATGCAGAAGCCGTGGAAAAGCTCGTGCTCATTCAAGGAGGCTTTGCCTGAAGAGCAGCCGCCTCTTTCCGAGATCTCATGGCTTCTCTGTCAAGCCCCATTGCAATTACTTACACACTGTGTGCTGGTGATGCTGACAGAGCTGGAGATGAATGTTAGCCCGTTGTTCATGCTGACTTGTAGGAAAACCACCCTAAAGCACAAACAGATACACTTATTTTTAGTGTCATCTTTATACCCATTGTTCCCTTTATTCCGGCTGTGCTTTAGCCATTGGCTCGTGAACACGCATGGATAACATATCCTGCTGAGTCAAAGCAGTTCAAAGCTTCAGGTGCTTACCTGCCTTGGTCCCTGTGCTTGCCCAGGAGCTAGTCTTTCTAGGCTGGCTTAATTGAGCTGGGGCATATGCTCTTTTTAAAAAAGCTCCATGCCACCTGGGGCAAAGGGCACTAGGACAGTGGGTCATAACATAACCTCAGATATTTGCAACATTAGCCTAAATGGCACAAAAACTTCTTTTAGGTTTTGCTTCTCCCTACCTTCACCCTCCGCAGCCCTACYTTCTGCAGCCTAAAAAGACAGCCTGTATTTTCCTCTACATTCAGATAAAACCATAGCACTTTCACCGAGGCAAGAAAAAAAACCACTGAACCCACTGATGTGCCAGTGAAATTAATACAAAATCTGTCTCCCATCATCCTCCAATATTATAGAAGGGGCCTGAGAATTTGCACCATCTCAGCAATTGCTCTATGCTGTCTCTTTATGGCTTTAAACTTTCTGCCCTACAACATTCCCATCTCGTCCTCAAAGCAGTATTTGAGCACCCAAAAGACAACCATGGAGGAAGTCACAGCCTTCTGCCATCTCACTCGGGAGCCTGGGGGATTAAAACAGCTGAAAGGGGTCAAAACTAGAAGCACACTGCATAGCAAAAAACAGGAAATAATACCATGAAATAACAACGGTAAAGCAATTAAAATCTAGCATTTCTCCTTTTTAATCAAAATGAAAAGTTTACTTAGAATTCAATCAACTTCTGGTATGAAAAATGGGAAACAGGGTAGAAAAGTCGCATGTATTTATTCAAAATTCTTCTTCCCATTTTCCCCCTCAACTTTGGAAACCTATTCCTCCCTACCTTTCTTATTACTCTAGTTTTCTCCAAGTCACCTCCAACACCAGCTGGCCAAGTGTGTTGACTTCCAACATGTCCTATTAGGAAGTCCCACAAAAGTGGAGTTTTGAAATTGCTGAGATGCAGCACAGCAGCACTTGCTGCACTGCAGCTTTTGCTGCAGATTTGAAGTCCTGGCCAGGATGCAACAGAAGGGATGCAAACACTTATCCACATCCATTAAAGCAGGATGAGACGTGATACACCACGACACTGAGTGACTGGAYATCTGTATGTCTACATGTGGAGACAGTACGACACGGGCACAAGGATGCAGCTGTTACTGTGGCCCAGCTGATGTGAAGGTTGAAAGTTTCAAGCCCTTTTTCCTCTCTTAGCTACCATACTGTATGTGGCTGCAACATTCCCCCTCCTTTCCACCCTCACCTACACTGCTGCATGATCACTACATGGGGACATGATCCAAAAGGTGCTTTGATTAAGCCAGACCAAAGACCCAGCCTAACACGAGGTTATTCTTTCTCATACCAGGACAGGATCTGGCATGTAAGGGATGGCTCTCTCCCTACCACAAGCAAGTCTTCTTAGCTGGGCACTTTGGGCAAAAATCTACATTTTTGGCTTAGTAAAAGCTTCCTCATCCAGATCCCCTCAATCTCTTTACATTTGTCAGAAAACAATACTTACTGTCCAGCATCTTCTATCACTGGAGCAGGACAAAGTAAGTAAGTATCATGAACAATGGTCGGCTTTTCATCTGGAAAGAGATTAAATTTGCTGTCAGGAATGTAAAGCGGAAACTGTCTCAAGCAGGCCAAGGCTTTCTCCCTGGAAAAGCCTGACCTTAATGAGGGCCATACAAGCAATTGTCAGTATTCCTCATGGTACTGCTTACTCAAAGGCAGCTTTGAAACGGTTGATATCTGCTTTCAGGGACAGGGGCATTTCTCCATTTCCTAGCAATGGCATTTCCAGCCTACCAWTGTTATACCAGGATCAGAAGGAACAGAGTTATCCCAGTATTTGGCTCTGAAACACGGCTCTTGCCCATCTGAAAAGTGCACCCAAACCCAAACTTGTCCCCACAAAGCCAAGGCCCCTGACTGCAGAGGGGAGGCTGAGCACTGGTGCTCGTTGCTCCTAGTGGGAATGCCCCTAAGTGTGTGGTCRGGGCACAAGGCAGGGCAGGTCACCGCTGTGATTGCGGCTGAGCTCCGAATGCCATCAGAGCCACCTGAGTGCATGTCAGAGATGGACAGCAAGGAGTCAACCCAGGCAGCAGGGCCCCAAGAGTGTCCCCCATGGGAATTTGGGGTGGGTAAAAGCTGCCTGCTTACGTGTACTGTAGAGACTCCATTACTCCTTCTGTCCAGGGAAAAAGAAACGCAAGCAGCAAAACCTAAGAGTTGTTCCTTGCTGCTCATGCTTTACCCACCCACCCACCTACCCACCCATGAAGGCAAAACTCATTTCCACATCCTTCTCTCTGCTAAAGCGGAGGAGCTACACTGGTCACTTTAGGGCCAACCTGGGGGCAAAAAGCTGGCCGGCACAGATAACTATCTTATCGTAACATCAGATTACAGCTGTTGCAGACTTAACCCAAAGAAAACAAAAGCATGGAAAAGACTCAGCGGAGTTTTCCTTTTCTGCACTTGGAAATGCAAGTCAGCCAAAGCAGTCCCCAGGCAAAATCCAGTCAAGGTGCTTTTGGAAAAGGGACAACGACAAAAACGCTTGCAGTCTGGCTACCTGGCAAACCACAAGAAAYAAACCTCTGGCAGCGAACATCTGTAAGTGGAATGAGAATGAGACCACCAGAGTTTATTTAACGCAGTCTCCACGGAGGCAGCCAGGATGGGAAATGAAGGAGCAATTCATGTGTTCCTTCTTGAAAGTGAATTCACTGCTAGGGAAGGCACCAGGCTGACTGGGACAGAATATAAAAGCCCTTACTGTACTCTGCCAACAAGGGTAGCATATACAGAAAAAGAGCAAAATTCCCCTCCCCACACCATGCTTTACCCTGCCAGACATACACTGCTGCTTGGGAATAAGAGACTGCTGAAAAATTGGACACTCAATCTTTTCTGCCCTTTCAGCCCTTTGCCTGGCTGCTGAGAGAGCAAACAGAAGCCCCTGTTCAGCACAGCAATCACCGCGGGTTTCTGTGTTACAGCTCTCTGAATGAGCCTGGGACTGCACCCCAGAGCAGGCCTGCAAGGGCCCTGCTTTATGGCAAGTGTCTCCTCAATCACTCTGAACATATCAGCAGATGATCATAATAGCATTTTTTTTTAAATCTGGTGATTAACAGGGCAATAGGGAGCAATCTGAGTGATTTTAGACTTCCTTCTTCAGTCCTCCTGACCATATCCATCACATCTATCTGAACCATTAAGGTTGTAAGGCCACGACCCACTATGCACATCCTCCATAAGCTCCTACAGCACGATGCTCACAGGYGGCAGGATTAAACAGGGATGGATTTCAAGCTTCTGTCAGGCTCCTCAACATGCAGTGCAAAAACTCCCTTGACTTGGATGGGAGGCCCCACATGGGATACCTGCTCCCAGCAGCCTGAAAACTTACTGATGGTAATGCTGTCATTGAGCTTGAAGCTGCACAGAACCTGGTCGATATTCCTTGCATGATAAAAGCCATTGCCTCTTACCACAACTTGAAAGGATTCTGTAAGGAAAAACAAGAGAGTTAGGAAAAAAAATAGTTTTTCTCCTCTAATACAGTGTTTCCCAAGCTGGAAAATAGAGCCCTGTCACCAGCGAGACTGGAGACTGGACCAGGCTGTCCTGGCTGGTTGGGCATGTGCTGCGGGGAGGGAGGCACAGGCAGAGACACCGACTGCTGGCAGCAGCTGCTGAGCTCCTGTCAGTCATGAAGCCACAGCTGGAGCTGGTGCAGCCATCACAGCTAAGCGGGAAAGGTAATTTAAGGAAGAAGGTACTAAAAAAARCTGTCTTTGTTTCTCAGTTTCTTCACGGTAAGCTTTTACAACTGTATGGATAACCTCTGATACCCTACTTGGATATCAAGATACATTCCTGATAGCAGGACAGGACAGCCTTCAGCTGCTCATCCCACTGCAGAAGGGAACRGGGCAGCTCTGCAGCTGCTGCCCGGTACGGCCACAACACGGGACCAGCCTGGAGCCGCCAAGCTGGGCATGAGGGGTGGCCAGGGGGCAAGGGCAGTGGGAATTTCCCTCCAGGTCACCAAATACACCCCAGCCGCAATGCTGACCACAGCGCCAATATCCTSAGTGCAGGCAGAAGGACAAGGAGGAATTGGTTCTGTTCTACACGCTTTTTGGAATTTCTCTTCCACACTAATGCAAGAAGCCAGCTGTGAGCCACACCACACAGCAAGGCCAAGCCAAAAGCGGGTTACACTTTCATGCAGAAATTTCATGCTGTAGCTGGATCAATTTCCTCCGCAGGCTGCTCACTTGGAGCAGCTTTGGAGCTGCATTTGAGACCTGACTGTCTTTTCACATCAACCAAACACCAGCAACCTCTGGGAACAGTTAATCTTCATGTTATAGAAACRAAAAAAAAAGAATAAACTGCAGAGAAGTTCTCAACCAGCAACAATTAAAACTATGAAAAAGCCCACATGTACCCTCCCTTCTTCTGTAAATCCCCAAATACTGTAAAATGAGAGGAAAACAACTCCGATGGGATTGAGGGGATCAATACGTAATTAATAGTGATATAAGTGAGCTCTAGTTCTTGACATCATCTCATATGACACCCTGCCATGGTATTTGTGTGCTTTGGATGAAGGACTGTTATTGGAAAACACAATATGAGGTCCATCAAAGGTGCCTGAAGTGCAGAGTAAGCTCAGCCTGTCTGCTCCGCACAGGCAAGTTTCTGCAGGGCAAGTTAGCACGGGAATGTGGAGTGCTTTAACTTTTCCATACAAACAGCTCATTCTTGCCAAAAACATAGGCTTGCTACATCAAAGTCTAAGGCAACTTACTGTTCAGGGAAAATGGGGCACAGGCACGTGCAGAACGAGTTGTGATCAGGCACTGCAAACCCACACTCCAGCTTTCTGCAAGGTAACTTGTCCTTAGAGCAACACCCCGAAGCAGCACCGGCTGCAGGAAAGGGGCGTTTCTGAAAAGACAGTTTGGGAGGATAAAGTAAAACGCCTGCTGGAGCACATATTGAAGTGGAACACGTGCTTTGGCACCTCACTGAAGACAGATTCGAGGGCTCAGTGAGGATGCCAAGAGCCAAGCGCACAAAAATAATATCAAAATTTGGCCCGTTGGTTAAGGGAAGGGCTCTGCTTCCTGGTTCCCACTGGGGGAGGAGGCGTGTCCCGCTTTAAACAAATACAAGCGGATTGCATGGCGAATTCAGCTGCTTCTTACTCCAGGACACATCTGGAGCTCCTCCAAGTCTGATTCACGCCTTGAGCCACTCCACATTTAACTCAAGTGACATCCTGAGAGCTGTTCTGGCCGCGCATCGCCTCCCGYCAGCAGCGCCGACAGCGGCGGCCGCCCCAGCGCGCCCGGCCCCGCGCACCCACCACAGCCACCGGCTGCAACCCGCATCGCACCGCAACCTGTCCGCCATCCTGCTCCACAGCATCAGCAACCCGCTAGCATGATCATTTCTTTTTGTCTCAGATTTACACATAAGCAGCTTGCTGATATAAAAATCTTTTTTTTTTTTTTTTCTCTTCCCCTGAAATAACGGTCTTAAAAGGTAGCAGCCAAAGGCTTAATCATTAACTATTGCAGCAGCTTTGAAAATAYGCAGCAAATAAGAGTTTCAGCGCAGAACATCCAAGATAACAGCTGCATGCAGGACTTTAGTCTTGTCAAGGCAATTTATTTCCCGTGCCCTTCTTTCCACTGTCATCACCGCTCTGCACAGTCAGTTGTGAAGGGAGAACATCTCCTTTGTAACAACCTGCCTGCCAACACAAGCTGACAATACAGGTTGGATACCCGGCCTGCACGAAAACGTGAATAGCTGGTACTGGATTTGGTTGCTGCGATTAAGAAGTCTGTCCCTTCAAACGCTCCGGAGCATTAATACRTTCCGGATGATGGTCTGTTGAAATGGCTAATTCTATTTAATTTTGCGCCCTGGCTCTGGCTGCGTCCTTTTCTTCCTTAGTTATTGTCAGATCGTAGATTGCAGCTTTTGACAAGACAGCAAAGGGAAAAAGGTCAGCACGGAAACAACGGGGCAGCGCTGGCAGCGAGATGGTAGGTTGAGGCTGGTGCGCGCTGGCTGCGCTGTCGGCTCCGCTTCCGTGACTCTGATGAGAAGCTGACGGCTTGCATCCACACCTGGTGGTTGATGTGGCCACCAGGATGCCACATCCAGCAAAACCTTTCAATCACGTCCGTGTAGCGTGAGCGTAATCAAAGCAATGATGCTGTCAAAGGGGATAGGAGGCACCTCCAATCGCGCGCTGATAGCCTGTTTACAGGCTGCACGTCTTGGTCACTTTAAATCAGAGGGAAGAGAAAGGGCCCAAGTACGTTTCTCCACATCAGGGACTACAAATTTGCAGGGTCAGAAGGCATTAAGCATCAGATAACTGTCACAATTCGGCTAGATCAATCTGCAAGCGGCCTCACCAGAGAGCTTCGTCATGCAGAGCCAGTGTCCCCACTGGAGCTGTCAGAACGCAGCTACACCCGCACGGAAACCATTTCATCAGCAATTTACTAAACCTCTGGCAAATCCAAACTGAAGCTGAGATCACCAGTAATTACCAACACGGAGGTAATCATGAGTTGCAAGAATGATTGCAATGAGTGGGTCAGAGCCTGTTCTAGCTCTCAGACAAGGCTGGTTTCCACCGAGCACCACAACCTTTATATTCTCACACTAGGTTACTAAAAAATAGTAACGATGCTCAACAGACACCGAATTGATCGTCACCTCCTTAATTGGGAAGGTTTCATACAAAATGCACAGACAGATCCACATTTCAAGGCTGTAAAAAAGCAAGGTGCTTTACAGCGGAATGTCACTACATGCAACCCTCTTCCAGAAAGCTAAAATGAGGAGGATACGCACTCACACACTGATCCGGAGAAATACAGGCACACCTCAAACACTCACCTAGAGAAATATGGGCATGCACACAGGTATATACACACACACAAGCACTTGATGTATTTTACATATATATCCTCTCTACGGACGAATTCAGAGCTGATCCTGATTCACACACATGTTGATGCTTTGATATTTTTATCACTATTTTAAATTGCAAATTTCAGTTATATTTTTTCCTAAATGCTAATAAAATCCTTAGAAATGCTAATAAAATTCTTAATTTAGAAAAAAAGATCAGAACTCCAGATTTCCAGAAAAGTCAGTCTAATTTTCAGATGGCTCTAAACATGCAATATATACACACACAGCATTCAATAACCRTACAGTATTTATTATTATTAGTTTTTTTCTAATCTATTACTAAGTAATATTAAATGAACATTTAAATTTAAAATATATTAAAATTCTTAAAAGTACTGAAGCATATGGAGCCATCTAGGTATTAAAGTCTGAATAATAAACTACACAAATGACCTTTATATTCAGAGTTGAACTACATTTGATTGTCCAATGAACTGGTTTCAGGACCTAGATTCACATACCATGAAAAAAGTTGCTCAATCCAAGGAGATTCCCTACAGGAAACAGCAGCAGATATAGCTGAGGAAATGAATCTCTAGCTATGCTGAAGTAAATGGGCTTACTTAGGACAATTAAGCCAAGAAAAAGKGTGAATATTGACAACTTCAAACATTTAAAGTCTCTTACTTTATTTCAGTAAAAACCGTCAGGACCGGGCTCTTGCTAAGAACTTTCACGGGCCCAATTCTGGTGTCCAAGACCACTTAGCCCATGCAGACAGCACAGGCTCTCAACTCCACGAGGAGATCCTTAAAAGCTTTTTTTTTTTTCCTTTTTCGATTGTACATAAAAAAAAAAAAATTATGACAAATGTCTGCTCCAGAATTATATCTGTAGGAATACATCAAAAGACACTAGAATATTTCATTTCAAATTTAAATATTCAGGGAAAGATCATAGTGTGATTGAGGTGGAAATAAAGAGCAAACCTTATTTTTTCTCCTTTTTTTTATATTTTCTCTGGAACTCCCATTTTGGTCTGGGCGTTCAAGGTCAGCTTTCATGCACCAATGCTATTTTATTTATAGGCACTCACTTTTGTAGTGTGTGAAGAAATGTACACAAGACAGGAACWAAATCAATTCTAAATAGCCATGTTGTAAACTATACCTTCCAGCAAACTTACGGTGGCACTCTTATTCTGCTGCAATGGTCTTTTATACAGGAAAAAAGAAAACAACAAAATCACTAACATAAACCAAAACAAATATAAGTTAAATATACTAAGCAGGAAAGGCAGGAAACTATCAACAGTTCCTTTGGGGATTCTTCACATTTCCAATAGCCACTAATAGCTTCTTTAGGGCAAACAAGCAAAACACTTAACATTTTAGGAAACGTATCAGGTATCTTGGCCTATGAAGCTTATTACACCTCGTTCACTAAACCTGCTGAATGTTTCACAAAACCCTGTCCCAGTTGTTGGCAGGTTCTAGTGCACCCAAGAAACAATTTTTGCAGAAACCTGTGAATTGCCCCCTCTAGAAAGTTACATATTTTTGGCAACACAGCTTATATCTTTTGTGGTCCTGTTTTCTTGAATATTTTAAGAAATGGTATCTCCAACACCCTGAACGCTCCTCAGTTAATTCTGCAAGGGACATTCAGCTGGGGTAGTCACACGTCTATCTGGGCAAGCTCATCCTGAGCTCAGAGGGTTCACGTGGGGCTTCACCCACCGCCTGAGGGAGCTTCCCAACACATCTTCAGTTCTGACACCATCAGCCCACCACAGACACCTCATTGCTGCTAGGTATTTGCTCCTTTTGCAAACTTACCTCCTGCACAAACACTTGATGGTTCGGCCGCGAGGATCTCAATGCAAGACTTCTTGAGAATCTGGAAGATTGAGATAATGGCATTTTTGACAACCTTTTTAATTACACTTTCTTAAGACAGGGAGAGCGTCCTCCAGGTTTCAAAATACTCAGCTTACCGAATCAATGGTTCCTCTTAGGGCATAAAAGCCTCCTGTTACTGGGAAAACATGATCGATGCTGTCAGCAATTGTTGACAGCTGCAAAGAAAGACAATCATAAATCAGGAGGAAAATAAAATTATAGTGGATAAACTGGGCTGCTTCATACTTGCTAAAAGACATCATACTGACATGAAATGATTTATGCCTTAAGTAATAAAATAAATGTCTTCATCTGATGCAGTTACTTGTGCGGGACCATTGCAGAAAAACTAAACAAGACCATGCAAGTAAAGCTAGATCCAAAATTACCTGAGTTTCATTGAAATCTTTCACTCCAACACAGTAGACAATAGCTCCTAAACTCCTCGCTCGGTTGGCCTATGTTTAAAAAAAACAAAACAATAACAAAAAGCCAACATTAAATACAAAGCCAAATAAAGCAGTGGAGCCAACAGTAAATGCTTACAGGATTGACATAAACCAGTTTGGATGAATGTGAAGGTGACTTACTTCTTGTTCTGCATAATAAAACTGAACATCTTGCAATTCTCCATCCGTCAGGGCTATAATCACACTGGCAGTTCGAACTCCTACATGGAGATATTTAACACAGTTAGAGTGCATATGCATGGCACAGTACGAAACAGTAAGTTTGAGATAATCAATGTGTTTTGCTGACAAATAAACAGAATCACAAGGCCAGAGCCTCTGCGTGACTTGCGCCGTCCTCACSGAAGATGCACTAATCTACCCCAGCTGAAGGTCAGATGCACAAGGGCATGCAGTGCTCCAAAACATCCATCGTGCCAAAGGAGGAGCACTGCTCTGCTCAGGGTCTTGTTAAACTTCATGGCCTTCTAAGAGAGCAGCTGTATCTGCAGGTCACCCCTCCTTTATAATCAGGATGAGGCCTTCGTGCACGGAGGAAGGAAAGAAAGCATCTCCAAAGGAGAGGGCTGCCCCACTCCCCTTCCCCATTCCTCTACAAAACCCATGTCCAGAAGTGCCCAAGGGCACCAACAAAAGGGACCTCTGTGAAAGAAATGCTCCTGCCACCCCACCTGCTCCTGCAGCAGGTTTTCAAGGTGCAACCTTCCTGAGCATGTCAGGAAGGGGGGACTGAACAGGGGGTTCAGCCCCACATTTCTTGAGCTATGAGAAGAGCCAGCGACGCTCATGGGAATTCAGATTGTGTGGAAAACGCAAGATCAGCCCTACTGGATAAAATTCACCTGTCTTATGTGCCACTTAAACTTAAAAGAAAAGGTGGATAAACTTGGATAGCAGGGAAAAGAAATAGAGCAGATAGCACTATACTACCTAGAAAAATGCAAAATATTAACAAAATTATTGCCAATGAATATGCAAACTACCATCAGTCAACCACTCTGCTTCAATTCTGTTTTTAAGCCAAGTAGCTAATATATCCGCATCTCACTTTCAAAGAAGTATTTGTTATTTAAAAAAAAAAAAAGCTACAATTTCAAGTGTCTTTCCTGATATTGCCTGAAATTAAAGACTGATGAGTTCTGACAGGTTTCTTATGCCATGCAGTTCTTCCCATGTCACATCAGACACAGACAAAAAGCCTTAAAAAATGACCTGCAACTGGGAAAGGGGTTGGAGAGAGCTTCAATTCCCGTCTTCCTTACCATTCATACACATACACATTTTTTTTTCCTCCAGTTCAGGATACTTTAAAAAAGCTACAATATTGGAGCTCTTATTTTGTTTTTCTTTCTTCTGAATACTTGTTTCCCTCCTGATATTTTATTTTATAAATTCAGAGCTCATCTACTTTATCTTTCCTAAGTTATCTGTCATGGACAGGTAAAATAATTTTCAATTGGACTCTTCAGAACTCATGCTTTTTTCTGGCAGAAATGCCTGGGGAGCCACACACAAGAGTTGCTGCCGAAGACTCCACACTCACAACCTACTCTATCAAAGGCATTGACCCAWTTCTGGATCTTCTGAAGACACCATCAGCCCATCAATTTCTTTTAACGCAGGAAAAAGAAACAAAACTATGCACACATGAAGACATTTTCCTCTTAAAACTTAGGAAAAAATTACTTTCTGGGGACTGATGATCTACTCCCAAACCATTCACACTCATGCAAGATCTCCAGATGGTCACATTCACACTGACACCAAGCTGAATGAGAATTCGGGTGCATGAGACAGAAAAGGCCGAGTGCCTCAAGACACAACGATGCCTCAATATCGTGGTGCTCCKGTCCTCCAGGTGCCACACAGGCTTTGGTTTATGTTCTGCACTGGGTCAGTCTGTGATCACAACGGTCTCCTCTGGTCTTAATAAACCATGAATCACCCRTGGCAAAGTCAGACTGCAGCACAAATGGAATGCAGCAGTTGTGCAACACCAGCTCCCTCTCCAGCTCCTTCAGTGGGTTTACTGCAGGTCATACAAAGAGCTACCACCCTGCCCTTCCAATGCAGACATGTAATGRGAGTAACATGCAGTGCCTACCTCCGTAGGTTTCATGGTAAATCTGCTCATTTGCCTGCAAAAAAAGTGTAGAACACGGTTAGCTCTTGAGAACTGCATCAGCAAAGCAAAGTTTATAAGTATAAACCAAAGAAAAGGGGGTGCTGTGAGGCGTACCCTTTTAAAGCCTTCATGCATGAAGGTGTCTCCTCCGGGCACTTCGTACTGAAGAATCTCAAGCCCTCGCCTTATGGCTTCCCTTTGGATAAAAAATATATACATATATATATATATATATATATATATATAAAAAATCATGAGAAAGCAATTTTATTAGAAGTTTTTTGCTGCTTTGAGATATTCCTATAATACACCTAGATTATGAGCCCCTTCAATAAATTGCAGAGTGCATATAAGCAAGCTAAAGGACTGGTAAAAGCAAGATGTTTCAAAAACACAATTTTGAGATGAGTCAGGCACTCATGGAAGCACAGAATGCATGGATGCAAGATACAACATCAATGCAAATGCATTTTAAGACTGCAGTTCCGGCCCTCCCTCCTCCTAGTATACTGCCAGCAGGGATAAGACTAAATTAAAACAAACGCCAGATATAAACTGTGACAAACTGCAGATGGAATGAGAACTTAAAAGCTGATGGCCCTGTCATGACAATGAGACAAATAAAAACTCATGATTCAAACAGCCTTCAGGACAGCCAGAATCTGGACTTGCCCATTTTAAAGACAGAGACCAAAAAGGTATGATAAAAGAATGGGAATGCTCAGTATTTCCTACTGGAGTCCAGGRATGCCCAACCTTCTTTCCCATGTACAGGTTCCTTGGGGATAGGCTGTACCCTGGCAATAGACTTTGATATCATGACAGTCAATGTGCAGCTTCTTATTCCCCAAACAAAACCCCTTAAGAGGTTGAAATTAATATTCATCTTCCACATGCTGATCACTGAAAGACTCTGTTCCTCAGATGTTGATCGAACACAAACAAGACAAATAGAGTATGAAACAAATATTCAGATAATGCAGACATCAACTTCAGATGTTGTGGAATTTTTCTTTTTTTTTTTTTAATAAATAAATGAATGACAGTCACTCTAAGCTCCCTTTTGCAATGGGCCATTTTGGATGGCATAACCACAATCAGTGGAGAAACAGACATATATATGGATTGATGTCAAAATTTGGGGCTGAGATGAGGGATATCCTTAGGGCAAACATATTTTTACCCTTTCCAAGTGTAAAATACGCGGAAAAGGCACACACGGAAAGCCGTGCAGAGAACACAAGTTTAGGTCAGGGGCCATTTGAACATCAGCTTCAACATATTGCCAGAGGGGCACTGTCTACTTATCACCTTGTGAAGAGCAAATCCACCTGGGTAGTAGGAACAAGGTCAACCTCTGCCACAGAGCTGCAAAACGGGGCCCAAACCAAAGCTCAGCAGAGCCAGAAGAAATCCAAGGCTCCCGGGGGTCTCCAGTTTGGCACGAGACCCCAGAACACCAAGGGGTCAGGAGGTTTCTGAACTGCTCCAAACTCTCTTCCTCAAGGTGCACAGTGCAACAGGCACCCTCTCCCACCAGCGGAAACAGCAGCAGAAATGAGAAGAAATTAAAGGAAATACTTAGAAAATAGAAACATGACCAAGACAGGGGCTTGGATGTATCAGGCAAATTAAATGCATATTATGTTGGGGAAGAAAAATGTAGATTTGATTATGAAGGTGGCAGCAAAGATTTTGTTCTGGCCTCAGACTCCTCCTCTCCCCTGAAGGTTTCTGGGTGACAGCGATGAAGCACTTGCCTATTTTCAGTTAATTTCATGACCGTGGTGCCTCGTGAGGAAAACACGATGAAAGACATGCGTAGCATGGGGCTGAAACGGAAGAACAAGGCAGAGCTGTGTCACAATCAGGTTACYTGAGCAGAACTACAGAGTCACCATTCTGTGATTCTGTAATTTCATTTGTTAAGAAATAATGAATACCCATATACACACACATGCATATTTATATAGCTGAATTCTCATCCCAAAAGAACTTTACCTTATGAACTTCTCAGCCAGGCTTTCAACAAAAGAATAAATCTCTGTCCAATGGTTTCTGACACTTCCAGACCTGMATACAAAAGCAGAATTTATGATGTTTATCTTATTCCACAGTGAAATACCCRTATCGCTCATTTTTCAAGGATATTCTAAAGGTGAATTAAACTCAGTATCACAGGCACAGACTCAGTAAATGCCTATGGAGATCAGTGATGTAACTCTTATGATTTCTAATACAACCATGTTTGAAAGTGTTAACAAGAAGAATGATCATAACAAAACCCACAACTGGGAGCAGAAACAGGTCCAAAGCAGCTTACCATTAAATTTTAAAGCTTGTTTGGTAAATGTGCTCYCATACGGCTTTGTTCCTTTTGCAACATAAAAAAATGTAAATATTTTCTTCCAGTTTAATTAATTTTATTTGATTTTTCTAAATCATCTGCTAARAGATTATTTACTTTCCTAGAGCACAGTTCTGCTCTTACAGCCACACAGCAAGTCCTGACTGCTCCACTCTCCCAGCATGCGTGGGTGAATGTTTCCATGAATTACTGCTTGTTTCACAAGAGAAAGCTTTTGAAGTAATTCAGAAGGGAAAGGCCATTCTAATGGCTAACACACTGGACCAACATTCTGGAAAGTTAATCCCTGGCTCTGTTACAGACTCCTTAAGAAAACTTGGACAATTCATTTACAGGCACAAACTTAACATGTTTGTACTCCTATTTCCAATGTATGAAATTGCATTACCAGCATTTTTTTTTTTCTCCTCTCTATTTAGATCTTGCATCTTGGRGACTCTAATGCTCCACAGTAAATGACACTGGGTGACTCCATGCCAAACACTTCCGAGCCATTAAAAAGGCTTCAAAGTCAATGGTTTTAGAGCTCTCCCTCAAGGTCTGCTATTGCTGACACACATGAYGGAGGAAGTCCCTTCTTTGCCTTTCTGGAGGGCAGACTCATGCACCCTGTGCTTTCAGCATGAGCAGAGGTGGGCAGAAGGATGAACAAAACCACACGTACAGAAGGGTCACAAGGTTTGGAGACAGATTAACTTAGAAAGTTCTGCCATGTAACTATGGAAATAGAGGTACCTGAGCTTTCCTCCAAGTGTCCTTAGAAATTGTTCTGTGTAAATGTACGGAAGAAAAAAGAAAACAGAAAGAAAACACATTTAAAAAGTGAAAATACTGCCCCGTATCACAATTCTTATCTCCTGCTGGGCTTTTCACACAGCCCTGCCCACATCACTTCCAGCTGCAGGTGCCAGGGCACAGAGCGGGACACGGATGTCCGCGTGAGCAATGCAGCACAGCCCTGTCCGCCGTGCACGGGAGGAGCAGAGGGTGAAGAAGGAGAGACACTGACTGCAGAGGGAGGTCTGAGGGACTTGCGCAAGGCTGGGCTCGCGCCTCTTCTCTTCTGGGGAACTGGTGAGTCACTCGCAGAAGCAGCTGGTTATCACAGAGCCAGGCAACCGCTTTGGTGAGAGCGCCTGTGCCGGGACCGCGCACGCGGAGCGTCTACATCACGGTTACACGCGAGGCATCAGGTGAGACAGGTTTAAATGCTCGTGAGCAGAGTCTGTGGAGAGCAGCAATACTACCAGCAAATAAGCCCTTTCTCATCCTTAAGAAATAACCCACACATATATGAGGTACATACTTTAAAGGCTGCTTTTTCAAAGCGATCCAAGGCAGCACCAAATCTGTAGTTCCTCCAAGTTCTTCTGAAAATCTTACACTAAATCTAAATCAGCTAAACCTGTAACTTTAACAGATTCAGGGAAAATATGCTCATTTACAGCCCTTCCTACCTGTCCCCCTTAGATTTGGCCCTTCCAGCTTCATCTGGAGCTTGCAATTCTCCTTAAATGCCACATCTGCAGCTTCCCGTAGGGTCACTTCTCCACACGGAATAGCCACAGTTTCTTACTTGGAAAATGCTGATGTATTTTGGATGAGATACCAAATCTCTACTGCCAACTACAGAGGCACTGATGCAACCGAGAAAGGATGGTAGCAAGGAGTTTCTTTGGRGAGGAACAAATCATCATTTCCAGTACCTTCTTAGAGCTGTCTGGATTATTTTTTCATTCAACTCCTTTATTTTTCTTGGAGCATCTAACCCACAGAAAAGAACAGCTTGCATAACAACAGCWAAGACACTGAAAATTTGAGAAAATCATTAAGTCAATAAGTGACAAAATGAAGATTTTTAGAGTGAAAATGCACAGGTAACGTTGTTACTGTGTATTTCCACATACTCTCACAAGAAAGACCATTTTCTTGGAAAGAGAGCTGAAAAGAGCTTGAAAAGAGTGCTTGGACCAGCTAAAATGTTCACAGACAACTGACAATAAGAGCAGCTAGAAGGCCAGAGGCTGTAATAAATCCTTAAGTGCTCACYTCCAAACAGTTAAGGAAACTTCTGCCATGTGCAAGTCCTCACAAGGTATCTGCTGTGCTCTCRTAGACCCATCTCCACACCACCAAGCTACAGCTCTGCCAAGCAAAGCTACTTCAGACTGAAAGTGGGTCCAATCACCTGCTAGAAGGAATTCTGTACCCAAATACCACTCATTTCTGGTCTATCAGCTCTCAGACAGAAAGAAAAAGTTTAAAAATGCCATACAGAGGGTGCCAGTGAAGTTCAATACTRGGTGAACACGCAGTCACCTTCCTCAGAGTCCAAAAAGGTCCCTCAAAATCTTAAATTCCCTTAAATTCYTCCCTGTGAGCTTGTACCTGAGAAGTGAATATTCAAGAATTGAAATCCACACCCATTTTCAACATCACACAGCATGACTTTTAGAGCACCTCTGATGCTTTTGTTGCTTCCATTAGAAGCTCAGTCCCCAAATGAAACACTCTGTAGATTTCAGAGAAAATGTCAAGCCTTCCAAATAGTTAGAAGGGATGTAAATCAATCATGGAAAAGTGCTGTGCAGAAAAAAACACTGAGTCTGAGACCCAGGCTTCTACCCCACCAGTGATGAGGTGAAGTTATGAACCAAAGACGACTTAAATTTCCTGCCATAGAGATTCATACCAGCAGATCTACTAAATCAGCAGCGCARCCATCTGCAGAGAGGTCGTTGCTAGAGCTGGACCTCCCCTGCTGGCTCCTGGTTTAGAGATCTCCTGCCTCTSTGTAGGCAGCTACGTGGTTCAGCTCCTCACACGAGTCACGGTGGCGGCTGCCACACCAACATGTCCTGGGCTCGTCCTGCACCACTCACATTGATCCTCCCCGTAGGTCACTGCAAAGTGACCCACAAGCCGAAGGCCTCCTTGGGTAACAACCCATGGCTCAAAGCAGCGTAAAGGTCCTTCACAGTCGAGTGGGGAGCTGAGGTTTCATCCTCGGGGGTTACATAACTCTCGTGGCAAGGAAAAGGCACRGCAATGAGCAGCTGCTGTGGGCAGCCAGAAGGCCACAGAAAATGTTTCAGGGATCGTTTCTGCTGCCAGTTCCACCGGGGTGAACCTGGAGCACGTCCAGCGAAACAGCACAACTCCCCCACGTTCAGGCCTACGTAACCGGGATCAGAATGAGGCCCGGCCAGCGTAACAAACCCACGGCAGCCATTTGCTGCGAGCGTGCRGCTCCGCCAGCTCCGTCCCTCCTGCCCGGGAGAAGGAGCGAGGAGTCAGCAAACCACAACCCGGGGAGGAATGTGCTCCCGGCCGCTGTGGGACCCAGCCCCGGGAAGCAGCTGCTGCTCCYGCTGCCCTTCTCCCGACTTTCGCAGCGCTACCGTGCAGCGGAGGCAGCGAGCGCTCCTGGGGGTGGAAGGAAGTGATGCGAGATGCAAGGCCCGACTCTGCCCTGGCTTATTCTGGAAGGACTCCTTTTAAGCCAGCGGAGCTTCACATCCGTGTGAAAGCCGGTGAACGTGTTGTCAGAGCCACGTCCACCCCAACCTCAAGAAGCTCATGATGTGGGGCAGGCCGAGATGTGGGGCAGGCCAGGCCAGAGCCCTTGCTGCAAAGCCAGCCTCCGGAGAGGCCAAGCTGCCTAGCACGGACACGCAGGGGGTCACCTGCAGCCCAGTTACTTCAGCAGGCAAAAACCAGAGGGGTCTGCTCAAAGAAACCAGTCCTGGCACACACACGATTCAAAGCTAAACACACTGAAGAACTCACATGGATCCACAGGGTGCAGTGCATATTACACACATGGCATAGCAGTGGCAGTTTATGCTCCAGCGCTGCCCAGATGGTGAATATTTTTATTACTGCATGCACACAGAGAGAAGGCAAAAAAAAAAAAAAACCTTAAAGATAAGGGGCAGTCTCCTTATACCTCTCTGCCCCCACACACGTAGATTTATCTGCCCATCTCTTACTGAGGCAGAAAGACTCAACCAAAGGCAGCAATTCCAAGAGCGATCCTGTAGCAAGAGGCAAACTTGTTATTATAGTACAGTATTATTTAAGAATTGTGGGATCATTTTGAGTGTGGCATCAGAGGAATACAAGACCCACTGAAATTTTGGGGTCCTGTAAGTCTCTACACTGTCCCTTGACTATTGGTGGCCCAGTATTGAGCCCATTGCTCAGAAACAGGGAATTTGCTGTTGTTATTTGGAGCAGCTCTTTGTGGCCACGACCACATTGTAGACAGCAGCATTCTTGCACATGGCTAATAAYGGCTCTGCAATAAAAGCAAACCCTGGGGCATCTAGTTTGTTGTGGTTTCAGACAGGCATGCGCATGTTCATCCATCCCTCTGACGCCTTCTTCTGAGGCAGCAAAGCATTCAAAGTGACAAGAACCCTCCTCCCTGAAACAATGCTGCTTGCGAGCAGCAAAGGGACCTTCTGTGGGTGATTCATGCAGGCAAGGAAGGAAGGGTTTATATTATCTGCTCCAAAGGCAACCAGAAACATGGTCCGAGTCAGCCATGCTCAGACTGTATTTGCTTCAAAGTATAAGTACATTAGTGGGTATGACAAGGGCAGGGGAATGTGAAGACAAAGACAGAAAAGTCCGGAAGACTGGAATACAGATTTCTTTGTCCTAGACCAGGACCCTGAGCACAGGACTCAAAGTCTGTGAA